ATATGAACTTTCAAAATATTCTGATGCATAAAAGATTTTTAATCTTAAAATGAACATTACTTTGCATGATAGATAGGCAAAATGCAAAAAGAAAATAGACATGAGAAAAATATTGCTTTACAAACCATAAGACTTAATAAAATAATTTGATATTTTGCATATGAAAGCATTATAATGTTTGCTGATAATCTGCCAGATTTCATTAACATTGGTTTACTAATTGAAAAGTTATAGCATGAAAACTATTACAAGCACAAAATAGTTACAAGATCGGTCCCAGAGACCGAGCCCATGCTGAAAGAGTTAACGTACAAATGGTTGCTTTGTTTTGCCCCCCCCCAATATCACAGCAGTATGTCTGCAGATTTACAACATTAGAATCTGGGTTTCGATACCCATGGTGGGAAGAGAACAGATGGCCCATTGTGTACCTAAATGCTTAATTAGAGACAAACAAATGCTTTGTTTAATCCTCTCATTATGGCAGGTCTAAGTGCGTGTCATAACTTTTTAGAGATTTACATTAAAAATATAATTAAATTACTTTGTCATCATTATTATATTTGAATAAACTTGGCATTAAAACGTAGTTAATAAATCAAGTTTTAATATTGTACAAGTTTTACGTTCCTAAATTTATGAGGAAATATTAAAAACATTCTCAATCTCCCCTAGTGTGAGACTTGACATTTGCTCAATAGGTCTCCCCTCTTCTCTAATTTATTTATCACCCCTCTGAGAAGTATAGAATGTAATGTAAATTACTCATTATAATATAGATATTGCTCAAGCCAAGCATAATTTTTATAGCCTTCAATTTTATTTGCTTACAGAGCCATGAACTAGAAAATCAGATCCACTTGCCATGCCCATCTGTTACATTCTCTCTTTCAAAAATTGCCAATAGTTTTCTCTGATATTTTATACTATATTGTTTATTACCAGTAGAAAGCCAATATTTTAATCTATCAAATAATTATTATGTTGTTTTCTATTTCACCTCCAATTTGAATTTTTTTCTCACATCAACAAGCTTAGCTGAATTTTTAAAGTCTCTTATCACCTTGTTAGAAAGCCAGAAAAATGATAACAGTTATATTCTGTGTTATTAGTTCATTGTTTAATTCAAAATTGTTTAGTGTAGTAGTACCATTGGTATAAAAAAGTAGACTAAAGTTTCATCAGTAGTTGATAGCAAAAAGCAAAGACCCAGGAAAGTACTATATTTCCAATATACTACCTTACCTCTTCTCACATAATAGCTATTTACATTCAGTGCTGCCCTCTATATGATAATTTTTTTTTCTGTCACAAACCTTGAAACTTCCACTTAATTGTGTCTTCACATATAAATCATTATGTGACAACCCTCCATCAATAGGAGTGTGACACACACTCTTGATGCATGTGACTCCCTCTATTCAGTTCTACCTAATCATCACTTCTCGTTAGGCAGTGGTCTTGTAGGGACATTTTATTGTTTGTGAATTTTTTATCTCTTTTTTTTTTTTTTGAGTAGTGCCTTCAAGTTTTAAGGTGTGGAGGTCTTGACTGGGGATTTTTGAGCCATCATTTGCAGGGAGTTTGAATTTTACACGTCTTGTTCCTCTTTTTCCCAACATTGTCCGGGATCCTCTTGTCCCTGTAGTGCTTCTTCAGGATTTTGACAGCCTTTTTCAAGGGCTGTACCTCTCCTGTTGAATCTGCTAGGCCTACCCCAGCCTTATTGGGTTTTCTAAGGTTTGTTACATTTTTCTCTATCCCTAATTTCCTATGGTCCACTCCCTGAAAAGTTACATGCTGGCCATTATCCAATTACCGTGTCTTCTCTCAAACTTAGAGTGCATGCTGTACGTTTTGTTTCTCAATTGAGGGCTGGTGCAAACATGCTTTTTTGTCCACCATGGGCTTCTGATCATTATACATTGGCTTACTTTTAGGCCTTGGATCCCTTTCTTGACTTCCAACAGTTAGTCATTTTTTGCCTTGTGGGGCAGATCATGTGAATCCTGTACGTTTATCTCAAGCCCAATTTTCCTGACTTCATCTTCACCTTAGATCTACTTTACATATACTTTGGGATCTGTAGATGGCTGGTTTTCTCCATATGGTCTTTTTTTGGAGATATTCTTTTATCTGTGGAGTCACATACAGAATACATGTGGCAACACTCAACCCTTTCTTCTTTGGTTGCTTATTTATCTCAGCCTGCTCCCTACATTACTCTATACCTGTTTCTCGTCCTTCACCCTCCCATCATTTGCCTGTTCCTTACTCTAAGGATCCATCATTTGACTTGCACTCGTTCTCTTTGCTGCCAACAGTTTCAGTAATTATCTGGTGGTGTTCGGCCCAATAGGGGCACGTGCCTGAATTTGTACACCTATGGCGGAAATTCACTCCCGACCTATGGGTGATCCGAGAATTGTTAGATGGACTTTCTCCACGATTCCTTTCACCACTTTGTTTCCAGTTTCAGTGTCGCTTTCATTACCTTGGAATCTCATTACCAGTAGCATCTTTCTGAAGATGTATGGATTCTTCTCTCACAGTGTGCTATAGCACCTGTCAGGTTTCTTTCTGGTTTTACTCCAGGCTTTTTGTCATCCCCAAGAAGACTGGGAACTGGCATCCTGTGATCGATCTGTTCAACCTTAACCAATTTCTGTATCTTTCCCACTTTACCATGGAATCATTTCTCACTCTTTAGTGGGTTTTTCTTCAGGTTTGTGGATGACTAACTAGACATCTTAGATTCCCATTTGCCCAGCTGCTATTCTTGGTTTATCTGCAACAGAGTTGTGTTTTAGTTTTGGGCCTTATCCTTCAGGCTTGCCTCAGCACTATGTGCATTTTGTTAGGTGGTCAAAACCTTCCCCCAACTTTTGCATGCTTGGGGGTTGTGCATCCATCACTACATGGATGATTGGTTCCTGTGAGCTCCTTCCAAACTAAAGTTTTCTCAACACCATAGTCTGTTCTTGATGAAAGTAGCTTGTGTGGGTTGGATTATCACAATGGAGAAGTCGTTCCTTATTCCATCCCAATATACTTTCTACTTGGGTGTAATTTTCAATACTTCATGTCTGCATTCAATGGAGCTTTCAGTTTTCCATGCCTTTTTCATCTCTTCCTCTTTGCACTCAAGGTTCTATCACTTTTGAGCACTTGGGCTTTCATGGCAGCCTGTATCCCCCTTATGTTTTTCATACACATATGCCTTCTCTGCAGTAGATGTTCCACGATCAATGGATTTCCCAATTACCCTTCCTCCTTCCATTTTAGACAATCTCCATTGGTGGTTACAAAAGGACAACACTATGATGGGCATACCACTTCTTCCCCTTCATACAGATTTGCATCAGTTTACTGATACTTCTATCTGGGGTTGGGGTGCATGTGTCAATCAGCAGGATGCTTTCAGACTGTGGTCTCAGCTTGAATAAGCCTACCATATCAACACCTTGGAGCCTCTTGTGGTACAGCATGCTTTGGATCATTTTCTTCCTACTGTCTTCCTCATCTGGATGCTTTTGCTACTTATCTCAACACTAAGTTACCTCTTTTTTTGGTATATGGTTCCTCATGCCACAGGCCCTGGCAGTAGATGCTCTCAGTCAGGATTAGACCAGCCTGGTCCAACATCTTCCATTTTTACAGGTACTATATTGTGTTTTCCTCTCTTACAGTCTCCCTTTTATTGCAATCCTTCCAAATATGTCAACCGTGTCATCAGGTGGCTTTTCCTGATTGGAATGTCAATATTGTTCTTCACTGTATCACACTCCCTCCATTTGGCCCTTTGTCCTGTTTCCTGTATCATCTATTCCTCAAGACTTATTTCCCACTCCTTTTAACCTGTGGACATCGTTAGTCTGATATCTTTGTCATCAATGTTTCACATACTCTGTTTCATTCCCTATATGCTCTCCATTATCTGGATCGATTTTTCCTGCCCTAACATTCAGCAGCTCATGAGGGGCATTCTTCATTCATGCCAATTTCTGTTCCCTGCAATTGTGCAGACAACATAATCACAAAGAGCATGGACAGAACATAGAATTCTATCCATATCAGACTGAGAATAAAGAGGGGAAATGAATGTATAAAGTGTCATCCACATGCCCAACAGAGGTGAGATGTCAGGGAATAGGAAGGTTGTGAAGACACCTGGAACAAATTACAGGAATAAGAAGGTAGGGAGGAATATGCCAGTCTAATAAACCATTAGAGTAGAAGGAGAAAGGTCAAGAAAGGTGGTTTGGTTTGAATTTTGTGCAAAGTCACACAAGGGCTATCTGCAATAGCCTTCCCTAATCTAGCAGTGAAAGACTAGAGGGAAGGCAGCTAGTCATCACAACCCACCACCAACTCCTGGGCTACTCTTTTAACAACAAATAGTGGGATTGACCATCACATTATAATGCCCCCATGGCTGAAAGGGTGAGTGGGTTTGGTGGGACAGAATTCAAACCTGTGACACTCAGATTGTGAGTCGAGTTCCTTAACCACCTGACTATGTCAGGCCCAAAAAAGGAGAAAAGGTTCCAGGGAATGAAAAGGTGGGATGGGGAACCATGAAAGGAAGTTCTTTTACTGATATCCCATTTTCAAATGCATTTTTGAAACATCATTGGTCAACCTTCATTAAGAATATTTTTCATATTCTTACAATGATTTGGTATGGAGTACACAGACTGCCTGTACCACCAGCAGATGTCCAGAGTAACCACAGTCCACAGGACAATCAGAATTGGGAATTCACTATATTAACCTTTGGGATCCACCACACAGAGGTGGATTGACTGAGTCACTAGGTGGCCAATAATATACCCCAGTATTACTTATGATAGGCCATACAGTGCAGATATTTGGAATGGATAGATAACTAGCATACATGGATAGGCAGTGCTCGCCAATGAGCAGGATCCTAGACCTAAAAGGGACGTGCCACTGTAAGCAAAATTAATATATAGAAAAAGATAATTTACCAAGTTACAGTCAAACTAATGGGTGAAGGATTGTAAAGGGCAAAACCCTGATGAAAAAGAAACAGCCACCTGATGAAGGTAGTTGGATATCATTGACTTCTATTTCAATAAAAGATTTGAACCATTGGCTCAATGAGGCTGCAAATTAGTAGCATGATTGTTACATTTTCTTCAAAATCTTGTATAAGTACGACTTAACACTACACACATAAAATATCGTAACTTGATAGTGTTACTGTATTAGTTAGCAGTCTACAAACTGAACACTGAGTTAGATAAATAATTCTTTACTGTTCAGATACGTTCATGAATTAGTCTTAGTTATGATGATCCTGTTTCAGTCTTAACACTACACACATAAAATATCGTAACTTGATAGTGTTACTGTATTAGTTAGCAGTCTACAAACTGAACACTGAGTTAGATAAATAATTCTTTACTGTTCAGATACGTTCATGAATTAGTCTTAGTTATGATGGTCCTGTTTCAGTCAATTAACATGTTTATTTCATTGCAAGTTAGGTATTGTACTATCAGTTGTTAGTTTATAGTAAAATATCCTCCTCATGTTTTGCATCAGATAGTAGGCTACATGTGGTTAGTGTGTATGGATTGTGAATTTAAAGGATCATGGTTTGTATCTCACTATTGCAAAAACTTCATCTGCACTTTGCAGCTGTGAGCTCACTGTTTGGTCAGACAAGAGTAACCTTAGAATTTGTGGTGGGTGCTCTTGACTAGCTCCCATTCCTTTAATGTTAGTTCAGAATTATGGATGACTGTGTATAGATAGCCCTTGTGTAGCTTTATGAAATAACCATAAATAGATGTTTTTATTATTATTTAGGAATTGATGACAGTCAAAATGCAGGAAAGAAAAAGTTCAAGTGGGAAAAAGTGATCAAAGAAATACTGAAGCAAGCTCCTGATAATGAATTGTCAATTAAGAAATTAAGAAAAAAGGTAAAGAATACATTTAAATAAAACAGTTTTTCAGCTATGATGTAAAAACCTGTCCCATTGACCTAGTGTTGAAAGATGAGGTATTTTGCAATCTTTTATCAATGAACATTTTTCTTTGATACATAATCTATATAATAAAGACTCAAGTTAATCTTAGTTGCATCTTTGGTGTGTGAGAAAAACATTTAATAATTAATATTTTATGTAAACTGTACATTAATGTGTAAAGAAATTTTATCATCTTGGGGATCGAGTCCTGGACCATTGTTTTGAGTCTGGCAACTCGGATAGCAGGGACCAAGCATACCGCTTTCCTTTAATTACAGTAACTATCCAATCAGGAGAAGTACTAGTGTAACCAGTGAACCCAGCATACACACACAGCACTAGTGTAACCACCAAACCCAGCATACACACCAGCATACACACACAGCACTAGTGTAACTTCTAAACCCAGCATACACACAGCACTAGTGTAACCACCAAACCCAGCATACACACACAGTACTAGTGTAACCAGTGAACCCAGCATACACAGCACTAGTGTAACCAGTGAACCCAGCATATACTCAACACTAGTGTAACCACTAAACCCAGCATACACACACAGCACTAGTGTAACTTCTAAACCCAGCATACACACAGCACTAGTGTAACCACCAAACCCAGCATACACAGCACTAGTGTAACCACTAAACCCAGCATACACACACAGCACTAGTGTAACTTCTAAACCCAGCATACACACAGCACTAGTGTAACCACCAAACCCAGCATACACACACAGCACTAGTGTAACCACCAAACCCAGCATACACACACAGCACTAGTGTAACCACTAAACCCAGCATACACACACAGCACTAGTGTAACTTCTAAACCCAGCATACACACAGCACTAGTGTAACCACTAAACCCAGCATACACACACAGCACTAGTGTAACTTCTAAACCCAGCATACACACAGCACTAGTGTAACCAGTGAACCCAGCATACACAGCACTAGTGTAACCAGTGAACCCAGCATATACTCAACACTAGTGTAACCACCAAACCCAGCATACACACAGCACTACTGTAACCAATGAACCCAGCATACACAGCACTAGTGTAACCAATGAACCCAGCATACACAGCACTAATGTAACCAATGAATCCAGTGTATGCACAACTCTAATTTAACAACTGAACCCAGCATACACACAGCACGAGTGTAACCAATGAACCTAGCATACACACAGTACTAGTGTAACCAATGAATCCAGTATGACACACACACATCACTTGTCCAACAGTTGAAATCAGTATCATACACATGGAACTATTCTATCAAGTGAACACAGTAGTATACAAACAGAAGTAGTCAAACAACTGAACTCAGTGTTACACACACAGCACTATTTAAACAAGCGAACCCAATATTATACACATGGAGCTAATCTGACAAGTAAACCTGGTATTATACACACAGAAGTAGTCTAACCATTGAACCCAGTATTATACACATGGAACTAAATCTAGCATACACAAGTGGTTTTATGTGCTGTCCATATAGTAGTGTTTTTGGAAACATCTGCATCATATCTTGTTTTTCTAACAATATCCTTATCTTGGGCAATTTTCACATTTGAATTAGAACTATACTAGTAACCTAATTCATTACCTTTACAGACTCTTGTGCTACTTAAATTACAGTGAGATTATACACATCTCCTGTATTAAAACATTAAACAAATTAGTTTTTCATTCTGTTTTCATGCTCCAAGGCATGTTCAATTCTTTACACAAACTAGTGATTTTGAGAAGAGGTTTTATACCAGTTTTCTAAAAAGTTTGAATACATAAACACCTGGTTTCTATATTTAAAACTGCAGTTTTTTTGTATGTTGTGTCTATAAGAGAAATAGTACAGTTTTAGTTCTCAGACTACAAGTTATATTTGATTATAGAATGTCTTATGTATGCCTTTATACATGACTTTCGTGCTTGTGAAAGCAGAGTATGTTTTTATTGAACCTTGAGTTCTGAGTACTTTCTGACAAAACATATTGTAAACTAAAAAATGCTTTCCTAATTTTGTAAATATGTAACTTGGCACCTTTTTTTCAGTACGAAAATTGAAGCTCTTATGATATTAAAATTAACAAATGGCACTTGTTCCCATAATTAGTTTATTTGGGTCTACATAAAAGTTGTTGTTTGTTTTAGGTAATTACGAATACATTTTTTCTTCTTTCACAAATGATAAAAAAAAGAATGGTAAAGAAGTAGAGATAGGGTTCTTTCTACTAAGTCTTAAAAAGTATGTAATTTAAGGCAGTTGAATTATAAACTCTTCAGACAAATCACCAATGAGTTGGGACTTATATGTTACTTATTATATTTGATGAAGAACTTGTAAAGTTAAGAGTTTCAGTTAGATAGTACATCATTTGTGGAGGAAGAAACACCCCTGAATTTGTAAACATTTACAGCTGTTAAGTTGGAGGAACTGGCCAAAAGCCAGAACCTTTGTTGTGGAATTCCTTGTCATTAGAGGGTACATTTTATTTGGAAAAAGGTTGATGATTTGATAAAAGGTACTTTGCCATTTTTTACTGTGCTGTAGTGTATTATGTGTATATCTGTTTTATTAATAATGTTTTAAAATTAATGTTACAACTTTTCTCTTAAATTGTAATTTTTTTTCAAATTTTTAAATTCTTATTTTAGGTACTTGCAGAATATGAAGCCTGTGGAGGAGAAAACAAACCTCTCTCTGATAATGAAGTCCGTGCAAAATTTGAGAAAAAGATCTCTCATAATCCAAAATTGAAAGTTCACAAAGAGAGAGTCAAATATTTGACATAATAATGATTAGGTTTTCTAGTTTTTTAACACAAATGTTTTCTCGTTGTTCTGTAAAAGAGAAATTTGACATGTACATTTATTGGAAAAATAAATCCCTATTGTCTAAATTTTAAACCTAAAAATTACCAAGTGGCTGACAAAATTAGAAAAAAAATCTATGTTTAAAACTAATAAATAATTTTTATAAAATTTCCGAGAAAAACAGGAAAATAAAGTTTTTTTGACTAAATAAAACTTGGTTGACTTTCGAGGTACTAAATACTTGCATACTTTTCATGAGATTTCTCTATTGCCAATCTTTCCTATTTTATGAAATAATAGAAAAACTTCATTATATATTTATAGCCCAAATATTTTACGAGTTTTTGACAGAAGACTTTTTTTGAAATGACCTTTGTTTATCAATCAAGTAGGGAAAAATTAAGTCTTTGAAATGACTGCTCTGGGTCCAAGTTAACACAGTTTAATGGTTTAATGATTCTGAATGTATGAGATAGGGCTATAGGCATCAAGTTTGGCTCAATGTAACTGTAGTAAATTGATTACATTTTACAAGTATGAAATAAGCTTACAGAGGATTAAACACAGCCTTCTCTGATGGTAATGAACTAATTAGGCTAGCAACTATCTATGCATACAGTTATATAATCTCAGATTTGTCGGACACCTTTTTCCAGGGTGTTTCGCAGAATTTTTGAAATTCTGTAAATAGAAATTTCGACTTATATTATCCAATGAAAGGATTGTACCCAAATACACAATTTTATTTTTTGTAGTTACAGATCGTATAAGTACAGAAATTGGCACCAAGGTAATAATGTTTTTTCTTACAATTCAGCCTAAAATGGTAGTTGAAAATACAAAAATATTATAAAACAGTAAGTTATTGTGAGCATGTGTTTGTATGATCATCAGTTTGTTTTTTTTTATCTTTATTCTTTATATTATACAACTCAAATACTCTATTAGTGCTGAGGTTGATATTTATATTTACAGAACCTTAACATGGACAAATCAAATTAGATGACTTTTTACCTGGTTCTAAAATTCCTTGTATTCCTGTAGAAGTGTGCTTGGATCTTTAGTGGTTCAAAGCATGGTTTTATTAGCGTTTTTTTCTCTGGGTTTGGAGACTCGAAGTTGGTACTGCTGTTATAAGCTGAGAGTAGTTTGGTATCTATTTTATGACTATGTATCTAAAAGCAAACATAACAGTTTAATGTTACTGTGTATAATTAACAACTTTCAGTTTTCTGTAGTTTGAGTTCTCCTTTTTTTTTCAGTAGTTTATTTCAGTTTAATTTTAAGGTAGAAATATATCATCAGGTGATGATACCACGTTAACAGTGGCGGAACATTGTTTTTAAATTATATATTTTTTTTATCCCATTTTACCTGTTTTTGAATTTTAAATCTTGTAAAGTGTGGGATACCTCCAACATTTATATGATACTCATCTGTACTCATACTTAGGAAATTTAGTACAGGCTGTATTTGAAACTCACCATGTATAAATTTCCTATAATCTGAAAAAAGTAAACAAAATATTCTGTTGATCAAAGAAGCTTCTATCATTTCATTGTTTCCTAGATTATATACAGCCATGCACATGTCACAGTTGCATGTTTTGGTACAAAGTGACAACCTGTACAGCAAGAGCAGTCATCACATTGTAGTCCAAAATATCAATATATTTATGTTTATATAGTTGTCGTGCAGTCAAATCAACCAGCAGGACACCTTGTGTGTTATTAACAGGAGTGATAGTTTAGCGATTGTTAAATTTCTGTAGCTCGGACTGTGGTAATCCAAATTATCACATATTTTCAGTGGATGTGTTATATTGGACCCTTACACCACATACTAAATTTGAAGGCAATCCATTAAGAAATACACGAAATACAAAATCTCCAATTTTGATTGAATTTCTACCATACTTTTTTTCTTCTCACCGAAAGTTCGAAAAATTTATTTGATATAAAAACATACTTTTTTTTTTTAATTTGGTACACTGATAGACCTTTACAACCTACAACTAGATGTGAAATTTGGTCTAATTAAAAGCCACACATGTAAAGTTATTTAACAAAAACCGTTCAATTTTGACCAAAATTTTTGCGCACGCATATGCAAAGTGTCACGTGAGCTATCAGTTTGAAATTTTTACTACATCGTCGCCTAAGAGTAAAAGTAGACCGTTTTTAAGTTTTTTGTTATTCTGATTAAAGACGACTGATTTGGAGCAACAAAACTATAGTGTGAAAGCATGTGCAGATACATAAGTATTGGTTAGGCCAAGCAAACTAGATTAGCAGTTTATAGCTCAAGATCTCAAAGAATCATATGGGTGGACGGTTATTATTCATTGCAAACTTTAAGGGACAAATTTGCTAAATTTTATGAAATTATCCTATTTTTGTAATATCAGTGAAATTGTCATTGTTTTCTCAGTTATTATTGGAATATAAGTTGTATTGTCATTCTTACCTGTGATATTATTGTAATATCAGTGCTATTGTAATTTTTCCTCAGTTCTTATTGTAATGTCAGCGCTATTGTCATTCTTTCCACACTCATTGTTGTAATATCAGTGCTATTGTCATTCTTTCCTCAGTTATTATTGTAATATCAGTGCTATTGTCATTCTTTTCTCAGTTCTTATACTAATATCAGTGCTATTCTCATTCATTTATCAGTTCTTATTGTAATATAAGGGCTATTCTCATTTTTTTCTCAGTTATTATTGTAATATCACAGCTATTGTCATTCTTTACTCAGTTATTATTGTAATATCAGAGATATTGTCATTCTTTCCTCTGTTCTTATTGTAATATCAATGCTATTGTCATTCTTTTTCAGTTATTATTGTTATATTAGTGCTATCTTCATTCTTTTCTCAGTTATTATTGTAATATCAATACTATTGTTAATCTTTTCTCAGTTATTATTGTAATATCAGTGCTATTGTCATTTAATTCCTCTGTTATTATTGTAATACCAGTGCTATTGTCGTTCTTTCCTCACTTATTATTCTAATATCAGTGTTAATGTCATTCTTTCCTCATTCATTATTGTAATATCAGTGCTATTGTCATTCTTTCCTCAGTTATTATTGTAATACCAGTGCTATTGTCGTTCTTTCCTCACTTATTATTCTAATATCAGTGTTAGTGTCATTCTTTCCTCACTCATTATTGTAATATCAGTGCTATTGTCATTCTTTCTTCAGTTATTATTGGAATATCAGTACTATTCTCATTCTTTCCTCAGTTCTTATTGTAATATCAGTGCTATTGT